TTTTTTTATATGTCGAAGTCGCATGTATTATTCAATTCTCGTACCTACTGTTAATAATTGAATGTTATATTATATTATTATGTTATGCATAATTTTTAGAAATAACAAATCTGTTAAGTTACATTTGAGTGATACAATTGAAAAAGTTTAAAAATTTCCTGTCTCTTTGACGAAAAAAATTAAATCTCTAAAAACTTACATATCTTGAATTCTTTTTAATCAAATACTCTATAATAAAAGTAAAAGTAGAGATTATACGATAAAAATCCTATTTTTCAAGCCTTTGTAATAAAATTGTTGAAATATGGATGAGATACTCATTTTGTTTTGAAACAAAGATCTTCATGAGCTAAATAAATGAATTTATTTTTGAATGAAAACTTGCTTAAACATATGTAAAAACTGTGTGATAATATGAAAAAATCTGTATTGAAATAGAGAAAATCATTCAATGAATTTGGTAGAATCATTTTGAGGAAAAATTGACATTGTTTTTCATCTCTTCTCTCACGAAATTTCTCCATTAGAATTTTTCAAATTCTTTTCATAAATGATAAAACACTACAATCACTATGTAATCGATCATTTTTCAAGTTCCAATTTAGACAAAATTTCTTTATTTCAAAGAGGATGATGATTGATATTTTTCTTTGTAGTTGCTGTTGTTTATATAAGTAAATTTGGACCATTTCATTTGTTAGCAATATGACTTTAAAAAACTAAAACATGCGTATCTCGGTATATTGAACTTTTCTAGAGCCAGTTTTTATATGTTACATGTATGTTTAATTACTCTAGAGATCCCAAAAAAAGAATTAATGCTAGATAGCTTTTTTCAGAGGAGTTATTAATAAAAAGCTAGTGTTAGTGACGTGACAGAGAAAAGGACATTGACTGTCATTTATTATATTTTAATTTTTAATAACTCTGAATTGAGACAACATTTTTGAAAACTGAATAGTGCATCATACAGGCAACTTCTGAGGCTTCAAAATCTCTGTGGAAAATTTTCTCTGAACATACCTAAATTTTTCAAAAAATCAATTTACTTTTCGTTAGCGATATGACCAAATGGGAGACGTGAAATTAGATCCGGGCCAAAATTTCTGTAATCCAGTATGTTCGGTATTACTTGAAATGACTCGCATGCGAACAGTTGCATTATTTAAGGTTCGCTTACAATTGATCGATAATACTTTTTATTTTATCACTGTTCATTTAATCTTGTGTTATACTTTCCTATATAAATTAATCGATTGACTTCTGTTGTCCAATGATGTAGCGTGCTAATTGAAGAGAATTCGAAATTTTCAGCAAAGCTCAATAGATAAGAAATCATCAGATACAGAATAATTGCAGAGGAGTTTCTAGAAAAGCAAACCTCAAGTTTTATAGCATCTAAAAATCAGGTATAAAATTTATTTTCAATATATGTAATGATAGAATGACCAATTCTCTGTCAAATGAGATGTTTTCAAGCTTTCTATGACGTTTCTTTGCCAAATCATGTCAGATTTATAGAAGATCTCCAGCAGCATTTTATTGTCCAGCCGTTCTTCTCCCAATGATTACTAGCGTGACTAAACTGTCGTCATAAAAATTAGGTTGTCGTGAATCAATCGATGCATACTCTATTTTTATGGTTGTTTCATTAGTAGTTTCTTCTGGATCAGAAACATTCATTGAAGATTTCACATAGTTGGTATTATGATCAAAAATGTAATAACAGAACCCATCTATTGTTTTCTCGTTGAACAAGTATATAGGTTTCTTATTAATTTATCAACATAATTTGAATACTTGAAATATCTTCGCATTAGGGTGTGTTGATATTGATGTGAATGTGCTTTTAGATGACTTTCTTTCACACGATCGGACGCTCAGAGTTCACATGTCATGTAGAGCCTTTCTCGGCTGCTCCTCATTTTCCGATCTGTTTTTGGCATCCATCTTCGATACTTTTTAAACATTCATATAGTTCGATATTCAAATTTTCAAAATTTTTATTTTCGACACTTTACTTTTGACGTTTTTCAGGAGAACCGTGTTGGTTAGCTAGTAAATATTTTTTTTCTATTTCGTCTTTGTGTATAGAAATATTGAGAGTGTGCTTATTCTGTACATGTACTCCATTTTTTATTCTAATATCTATAGAAAGTTTGAAAATATTCTCAAAGAAGAAAAACAAATTATAATAAAAATACTAACGAGAGAAAGTTCTCCACTTCTCCACGACGTTTTCAATGATGTTTCGTTCATGTGTTGGGGGCATTATTCTAACACTCCTATAACGGTTTAAACTCATGGAACTTACTTCGAAGGTTATGATCATTTTCCTGGTTTTCCACGTAGCACAAGGTATGTGCTGACAAATTGAAAAACGAGAGTTCGGTCTAAAGTTTTGCTCGCATGTGGTTGTTATGATCATTGAAACACTCTACAAGCTTCAGTGAAAAAAAATGTTTTCGTTTGCAAAATATCGACCCTTAGAAGCTTGTCTCATAATCTATAAAGTTATGAAAGATTGATTTTTTTAACATTTGAATATCTCGACAAGGAAAGACTCTTCCACTGAAACTTTAGAGCGTTCAAATGACCGCAAGAACTAAATATGAGCAACATTTCGGATTGAAATTTCGTTATTCAAATTTCTTGTATATACTTTGTGCTAGGTGAAAAACGGTGTAGACCACTTGAGAAACTTATCTCATAAGAGAGGCCATCATTTACGGCTTAATCATTATTTTTCTAAGCTTCGATTTAGAAGAAAACTTGAGTCCGTTGGATTTTTCTAGAGCACCTTAAACACTATATCATACGTGGAGTATACATATTGACATTTTTGTGACATAGATGTATGATTTAGCATAAAACTCTCGTCACTTGTAACTTTATTCGTGAATATTTGAACAAGATAATCTAACCATGAGTTAAATAATACTCACAATAAATCAACATCACTCTTTGCATTACTTTCAATGATAATATATATATATATATATCAAAGTACCGACAACGATCATCACAAGAAAAACTATATTGTTTTTGTAATCGTAAAAATTTTCATTAGAAATGATAAAAATGTTACAAAAAAATCTAGTTTTACTTTTAGTCAATAATATATTTGTAGAAACATAGAAGAAAAAAATATTCATTATATAGTAATTTATTTTCAAGAGAGATTACATTTTTTCTACTAACTTATGATTTGTATCGATGCCTGGATTCACAGACATACTTTAGTAAACAAATGTAATTCTACATTAGCCAAGTTTTACTTCCACCTACAGACGATACTTATAAAAAACTAAAATGTATGTGCAACACAACAAATACTACAAATACAGGGATAGATTCAGTTCAATTGAGAAAAAATTCAAACCAATTCTATCTAAAGCCGATATTCAAATACATTCGTCTACTTGTTATTATTTTTGATTCGAATTAGTTTGAGAAAAAACTAAAATTAATTCTATTCAAATGTTGTTTACAATGTACTGCAATAAAAAGTACAGCTTGCCAATAATGTAGTATGTCTATGTTAGAAAATAGTGCACTTTTGTTTTTTTAATACTCTTCGTCCTGATGCATTTGACATCTGTTATGATTGACCGTAAAATTTTCCAGTCATCTAGTTTATATAAAAACGTATTAATATAATCTTAATATAAGAGCAATCAGGTAAGAATCGCATTGTTCGACTCCTCCTCCACCTCAACATTCAGGATAAAAAACGCAACTTTCTAGAAAGAGCCTGTTTCTTCAATTTTATCCCTTTCTTATTTATCAAATAACAGTTCATAAAATAGATATATCAAAAATTTACTTGAATAGATGAGAGGTCAAGGAAAAACTAAATTTACTCCGTTTTAATTTTATGTTTTTCAAGCTACTATGACTGTTATATTTTCTCCCTTTAGTAGAGTACGGGGTTCCGGTTACTAAAAACGAGAAAAAACGGTTTCCAAAATATCGTGTGGAATCGGAACCGTTAAATCTTCAGTCAGACACAAAAGTTTTAAATACATCTTGACAAATTTTCACTATTGAATTGTTGAGACTAACGATATCACGTATTTCAATACTTAACCTAAACAATATTATACAAATACACTGAAATATTGTATCTCAAGAATGAAAAAATGAAGTTATCTCGATTTAGATTTAAGAAATTTTGTATCTATCTGATGATTAAATGATTCCGGTTCGGTTCTCGGTTCCAATTTTTTAGGGACCGTCGAACTCTACCCTTTAGTCCCTTTTCACTATGGATCGAGTGTGGATATGCATAGATTGGCATATTTCCTTCATTCACACGCAAAATAACTAAAAAGCATAATATATTCTTACGGTTTGAAAAAGGGTGTAAGCATATAAGTGAAAGGAGATAGATTTTAATTTTCTCGTGAACCTATGGAAGAAAAGAAAAATATTCATATTAAGTGTCTGAACGTTCAGAAATGTTTGCTTTTCTCTCTCCTACTTGCATGTTCTTGATGAATAATTAGTTCCATATGAATATTCATGTATCAAACTTGACATGTTTCTAATAAATAAATCATGGAACCATTACCATTGAACTATTTTATAATGAACAAATTAAACTATGCTTATTCGATGATTCTTTTTCTCAATAAAATTTTTTTTCGACGAATCTTTTTTACATGTGATTGCATCTTAATTTCATTTTACAACCCATATGAGCTTAAAGATAGACTAGGAAGATTTTTGTCAATTACGGCTTTAGTCTATGTATCTTTAGACAATTTATTACAAAAAAAAATAGAGTACGAATAAATGTTTCCAAGCGAAATTAGATATGATATTAAATCAAATTTAGAATACATATCTTTTTTTGCAAATTCAAAATACAACAAACTAGTTTTATATGAAGGAGAAATGAATATAGTTGTACTTTTCAATTTGAACAAAACAAAAGAATTTCTGTATTCAGCATTTATTTAAACACCATTATATATGCTATTTAAAATTTAAACTGGTTAAACAAAATTAAATTCATCGGAAAAATATTTGTTGTTGTTTTCAATGCCGTACAGATTTGAATGCCTACTAAATCTACTTAAAATTGAATTGAAACCATATGGATCGAAATCATCTCTGCGTACAACATTTGATTTAAGAGCAATTGTTAATGGATCTTCGTTAAAAGAAGATAGATATGCATTTGGAAAACTATTGCTTATTGTTATTGTCAGAAGAGCAATGAGAATAAGAACACGTACTAAAAAAAGATGAAATATTAAATTAAAAAGAATTAAAATATTGATTTCGTCAAACCTAATGGCATTGTTAATTTGTAGGCAAGTTAAGAGTTCACTTGTGAATATTGTTCTAATATAATTTTCTTTTTGTGTGATTCTTATAAAATGCATAGTATTTTATAATGAACTCTTTTAGTTACTGCGTAGGAAGAAACAATTTTCTATAAGTAGTCCTCAACATCGCCCGCTAAAATTGTAAGAAAATATTGAAAAAAGAAACATTTTGACAAAGTAGCTTTGTTTTTTCTTTGTCAAAAGGAAATATCCTCTTATTCTACTTGATTGAACTAAAATCATTCATTTTAATTGTATTATAAAGAGTTTCCTTTTATATTTCTTCGTCATTATCTTTTCAGATCATAGTAGCAACTTCATGCATGACATACAATAAACGTGTCAATTATTTAATAGAGATTCTCTAATGAATGTCAAATGTTTCAAATGAATACATCCTACTCTTTTCGAAGGACATGAGAATAATAAAGAAAAATAAAGTAAAAGAAAAATGCATTTTGAAAAGCAAAACTGTCAACAAAATCCAAAGATTACAAGATAAACTTACCGTACTCTAAGAACTTTTTTTCTGTGACAGCATTAGAACTCTAGCAAGATGCTAACGATTTTTAAATGATTGTTTCTGAGATAGTATGAGGTGTTTTTAAAGTAGGTCAAATAGTATGCTGGCATATTTAGGATTCTTCGTATCATTTTGATAGAAAAAACAAAATTAGAAATGCATGAACAAATAGCGTCTACTGGAACAAAATAAGGAGCAATAGAACATATAATTCCAGAATGTACTTTCATGTCTAAGTTTCGATAAATAATTGTCACAGTTAGCCCTTTAAGCTTTATTTCTTGACATTGTTATCCGTTGAACTTTCTTCTTTAAAAAAAAATATAATCTTCTAAGGACACATTTTTATCTAAACATCATATCTAAATCGATATGATGCTAACTAGTGTTAAAAAGAAGAATTTCTTATTTCATTATTATATGTTTCTAGATATGTTTGTATCAAGCTTGATAGAAAGACCAAAAGTTTTCTCAAAAAACATTCACTACAACTATGAACAAACAATTCCATGATCTTATTTTCAAATCGATTTAATAAGACTATCAATGAATGAATGAGAGTAATACAAAACATTCTTTTTGCATCCGCTGCTGCTACTCATTAGATAGCTTGACTAAGCACTGAAATCATGCTTTAATAATCAAGGCTGAAAATATCTTAGCAACTTTTTGAAAGACATAATTTGAATTTTTTTGTATAAACATTTTATGAGAGAGATTCTCTGAAAGACGATCAATATACAGTGGGCGTCATAAATCTCGCCTCACTTTTGTATTTTGAGTCGCCCATTTGAACTAAACAACGTTGATTTAATTTGATTATATATTCTTGTAGCGGAGATCGAGCACTATCTGTATACACCTGTTCCATACGGAAAACTCTCGGAATATAAAATAAAATAGGCAAAGCAATCTTCCGCATTCGAAATGAAAAAAGTACATAAGAGTGCTACTTTTCACCTAATAAAAATGGTTGAAAGACTTTCATNCAATCTTCAGTCCTACGAAAAAAATGATACAAAAAAAGACAAAGTGATAATAAAAAATGTTTAGAAGACTTTTCTATGCAATAGAAATTTGTTTACGCTGTTTTTGTCGAGCTTTTGACGCTTCATCTTCTAAAGGAAAAATCAAGGTACTATCGTTATCTCAAGCCGAGATATATGCAAAATATGAAAGTCTTTCAACCATTTTTATTAGGTGAAAAGTAGCACTCTTATGTACTTTTTTCATTTCGAATGCGGAAGAAATCATCAGTACGAATGAATGGAAATTTGTTTCTACAATTTTTATAGTACTTGTCACGACGCATCTTTTGATAAAACCAAAGCTTTATCATTTGTTTGTGCAAGGATATATGCAAAACAACTTATGCTACTAACGTTTCGGACCATAGTGTTTAATATTTTGATTATAAAACTCTCACTTCTGCATGAAATTTAAAATATTTTTTTATGAAAATAATCAGCATAAAAAGCTCTACAAAGTATGATAAATGAAGAACTTTTCTCAATACTTCGTTNATAATGATTTGAAAAAACTCACGCAATACTTCAACAAATGTTACCTGAAAGACATTCCATATCAGGTAATTACATACAGTAATATGGGTGATGTTCATCGATTAATAGGAGATTATGAAAAAGTACTTTCATTTCATCGAAAAGCATTAAATATTCAAGAAAATATTCAATGTAATTCTTTGCATTGTGCAACGGCATACAGAAGTTTAGGTGAAACTTATCGAAAAATGAAAGATTAATCTACAGCATTGACATACTTCTAAAAAGGATACGTGAAGAAAATTTACCAAAAACTCATTCTGATTTAGCTGTAATTTATCACAATTTGGCAAAATTATATTTGGCTAGTCGAGAATATAGTATGGCAATGAAAAATGTTCAACAAACAGTAGAAATCGCTCAAGAGAAATTGCCTTCAAATCATCCTCATCTTGTGGACTATAATGAAAAGTTTGAACAAATTCGAAAGATGCTATAAATTGTTTTTCTTGATTTCCTCAATAAATTAGTTCGCATTACTATTCACTTTTTTCGGGTTTCTCTCGGCTCAATATCACGTACGCGCATGCGACCAGGGAGACTTTCAGTAAGCTTGAAATGGGTACAGACAGAGCGGACCATTTATAATACATGATTCAATAGAACAAATTGCCCTCTACATAATTCATACGATGCTTAGCTATTTCTATTGTTGAATATATCGTTAGAAAAAAAACAGAAATTGCATCAGATATTCGATTTGAATAGATATTTCATGTTGGAATATTGTTTTCATCGTCTCCTATGTCTGCTTCGATCACAAATAGATTTTGTTATACTCTTTGTTCACACATCAAAGAAAATAGAAGCTTGTTTTAACAGTGTTGATTTGTAGGAAACTGTTATTTTTGAAAATCATATTCACTTCAGTTCTATACTTTGGTTACGCTATTACTATTGGCAATAGAAAGCTTACGGAAGTCCTAACAACAAACTGTACTAATCTCACTAATCTATACATCCTTGTTTCATGAGATTCATATCCACTCTGTTCTTAGGACTTCAATAAGCTTTGTTTTTACTGCTGCTATTTATAATGTAACACAGGTAAAGGGCTTAAAAACTATAATCAGATTTCGATTTCAAAACCTAAGAATTTCGTACAGAAAAAGATTCTTGACAAATCCAATACCTTCTTCGATGCATGGATACGCAATACAAAAACGTCTATCTACGTATTTTCTGACTCTCCGTGTTCAAGATCATCGCAAAAGAAAATTATAACTTTCTATGTGTATGTCAAATCAGTAAAACCTAAGCAAAAAAAAATTCCAAATGCCTATATAAATACAATACGATTTCAATTAATATAAGAACGATAAATAATTTCACCTAGAGTTCATCCTTTCCCTCGAAGGTTAACATTAGTTTTCCTGCTCATAACAGCTGATTGGAGACTAAATCATTAAATTTTAATTATCTGGGAGAAAAGAGGAATGCTAAAGAATCAAAGTCATTGTTTGGCGGAACTTACTGAAAATGTAAGAAGACTCATATTGAAGATTCAAAAATGTTTGTATCATCTAGAGACATAAATCTCCCTGACATTTTTCGAACCAATTTCTAGTAAATCGTCGTTCTCTAGAATACTGCATCATAAAGAAATAAAAGAAACTTTCATCTCAGTCTATATGTTTCTCTCATTTGAAATAGATTACTTTACTGTTATTAATCAATATTTAGTTACTAATTATAGTCCATATTCAAGACAACTGACTATACTTAAACTTGTCCATTATCTCGCACTTGACACTACGATTTTCAGGGTTTTCACAGTATTCCTACTAACATTTTTCTTGATGTTGTTATCCATATACAGAGGTTTAAAATATGCATATTACCTAGACTTTACTGATTTTCGATCAATAGTAATGTAAGTGTTACTTACCAAATTAGTTAACTCAGATTTTCGTTAAATTATTGGACATCAATCACCGATTGTTTAACGAAAATTTGGTAAATAATTGTTTTGCAATGATTTTACTTCGTGCAGTTATTTTAGTCTTATTTACATTAGATTATGTTATTCAACATATTTATTTAATGTGTGTTTTAGTAGATTCAAATGATTATGTATAATTGGCTAGTTAAATATTGGCCACTATGTTTCAGAAGAAATTACTCCAACTGTCACCCGTTGTCTGAGTTCATGTATGGCTCATAAAGAGATCGTAGTAAAACCAGGAAAAACCTAAAAGATGTTGCGTCTATAAACCTTTGGAGTTAAGCTATGGCACTGTTTTACTGAATTTTCGACCAATTATTAAATATTTACCGAAAAATCAACGAGCAGAATTTTGAACTGAAATTTTATTTATAGATAAATGTAACCACCCTTAGAGAATTCTTTTTGGATAAAAATTTCAGGTCGAAATTTCAGTAAAACGGCCATAACTTGATTCCGAAGGTTCATGAGCACGAACTCTTTTAGACTTTTTCTGGTCCTACCAAGATCTACTTGTGGACTTGATATGAGCTGAAATGGCGCGCTACAGTTGGAGTAGTTTTTTCGTAAGTTGAACAAAAAATGAAATAATTATATATAGATATTCTTCAAGCATCTTTCGCTAATTTTATAATCTCTTTCTTTTAAAAATGTGCACATCCATTATGATACGTCCTTCTCTTTCGTAACAATTTCTGCTTTAATATCACTATAATTATTTTGATTATGACAATAAAATTGAACACAATTGAAAAGGAAATTCATGTTTGGACATCGAATCATATACATTCATTAATTTGAGATTTTTTTATATTGATTTAGTGTATTTTTTGTTTTAACAAAAAGCAAAAAATTAATCTATTCTATCTCAGTACTACATAAGAAACTTACATAAAGAGACAGTGAAAATAAGTCTAGAAAACCAACGCATATGAAATAACTAAAGCATTAGAATAAATTAATTTTGAAATATATTTTTAATTCTAATTTATTCAAGCAATAGACTTATGTTAATCGCATAATGCACCTTTAAAAAAACTCAATCAATCAATCAGTCAATCAATCAATCAATTACATTAAAATCTACTTTTGAGTCAATGAAAATCCTTCCTTTTCCAAATAATTCATAAGATTGGTACGTCCAAATGCTGCTGCCGGTGTAAAAACACCACCTCTAGAAAAATCAAAAATTAAAATAAATAAATAAATAATTTTTCTTACTTGGCTGGTAAACGATCATTTTCTTTAAGTAACATAATTGCACAAGCAATTGACAATTCTGATGTTCCAGTATATCCTGGATCAGGTCCCATCATTTCATGAATTAATGTTTGATTATTTTCTGTATAAGTTACAAATGTCATTTTAAATGAAGTGTGTTTACACTAAATAGAAATTAAAAAAGAAGCCTAAAAAATAAAATTTCTTTTCTATTTCGAATTTACGTCTGCTCGTGCTGGTCCTTCTTTTGTAACTAATCCAGCAGAAAATAAACGTGGAAACTAACAATAAAAGATCAAAGTAGACATGATATGAATACATCGTTATAATTACTTTAAGTAAACATTGCATACCAAGTTTAAATTTAGTAAATAACGAAAAAATAAAACCATAGAAAACAAGTTTAACAACTGAAATAAATGAGGGCATTTGAAAATAAGGTTGGAAACGAATCTAAAATAAAATTTTCTAATTTACTTGAATATTTATTTAAAGAACTCCATCAGATAAGATGACAATCGTTCTTTTGGACAGTTACCTATACCGTTTTGCAGAACACCTTGTGTTCTGAAAATCGTAGAATTTTTAGTAGCTTCTGTCATTTTTGTCTTCTATGATGCTTTAAAATTCTTTTGATACTACTTCTGAGAACAAAAATACTGAATCTAATAGAGTTCCATAATATCTAGTCACTTGCGGCTAGTCAGAATCTAAATTTGTGAGGAACCAAATCAAATAAGAACAAATCTTTGTAATGGTCCATTGTCGTGTTCCTTCTAGGGATTTGAATCACTCAAAAAGTATTTTTCACAAAACTCACGAATGCTAAGGTTTTGGATACGAAGAAAGCTTTTGTTAAATATACATGATTGAAGTAATTTTAAACATTATTCGATATAAGTTACATAGAATTTCTTATATACCATTCGATGCAACATGAGTTGCGCTAAAAAACTGGTTTAGGTGGCTTTTCAATTAGAGAGTAGTCATCTTATCCGACCGGATCTTTTCTTACGGGTTTTTTATGTAATTTTGTATAATTAAAATACTGTGTACGTTGTACAACTGATTTATCACTACCAGGAAATGGTACAACCCAAAATGATTTACCATGAATTGTTGTTTTAAAATTTGACTTTCTAAATCAAACAGCTTTATTAATTAAATTAAATCTTTATAAATAGAATACTTCTCAATTTTATATTTTGAATATGGTAATTTTTGTTCAAATAATTTTTGTCGAAGAGATTTTAATTCTTTTGCATGATGTAAGCCATAAACAGCTGCTTCCCATGTTGCATAATTAACTAAACCATGCTTAAAAAAGGAATAAAATATATATGTAAATACTTTTCTAACCAATTTCTCTTTTATGTACTGTTGCTTTTGGAGCGTCTATTGCTAGATAACTTTCAATTAATGCAATTTCTAGAATGAAAATGATTTTCTTTATAAATACTAAATATTTAATCAAAATATACCAAGATCTTTTTGTTCACATTCTTTTCGAATTGTTTCAGTACCAAGATCAGCAATAAGTGAATCAAATCCACAACTACCAACAATAGCTATTTCACGTTCTTGAGCTTGACTATCATATCTAAGTTGTATTGTTTCAAGGAACTAAAACAAATAAATAAACATATAGATCATTACTATTATTTATTTGTTTTTTGTTTTTGTTACTTGTGGTTCACCGCATATATCAATATAATGTGTACGTGCTTGAAGACAAGCTTCTACCACAGGTTCACCATAATGACGATACTAAAAAATTAGTTTAATTAATGTCGATAAAAAGAAAACTTTTGTTTACATACAGGTCCAACACAATTAACCAAAACTTTTGTGCGAGCACACATATCAATTAATGATTGTTTATTCGTAATGTTTGCAACAATTGTATCAACATTTGAAGTTAAATTTTCAATACCTATAGATTATTAAGATTAGAGATTAACATCGATCTCTTAATCAAGGATAATCTTTGCTGCCTGTGAAGGAAATTATCCCAACTTATAACTCGAGTTTTGAGTTCAGGCTCTCTAATGAGGTACTCAAAATGGTAAGTGCCCCTAGGTGTTTCCTAGAAACTCACGTTTTTAGGAAGTTCAATATCTTGTGAAGAGAACATTCTAGTTATATAAGTAGACCTATCTATGAGCAACATATAGTCATTCGATTGTTTTGTGTATATTGTGCTATAGGCTAAAATTTCAGTAAATTTACCTATAACTTTATACAAAAGACCTAGAGATCTTTGTTAGTTTTGGAGTTTTTTAATATCTCATTAGAGTCTATCTCATGGAGAGAGTCCGAACTCAAAAATCTTTTTTCAAGTTGAGAAAATTCTCTTGTTAGTTTAGACACCTGTAACATTTGAAGCTTCTTGAAGAACTTGTTTTAATTTATTAGCTGTTCGTCCAGCTATACCCCATTTAATACCAAACTGGTTTGCTTTTCTTGCCATTTCTTCGATAACATATTGACCAGTATAACCAGTCGCACCAAAAATAAGAACATCAAGTCGTTTAGACATTGATATATGACTACTATTACAAAATCTAGAGTAAAATGTTATTTCTAACAACAAATTTCTTATGATGATCATGAGACTATTTTTATTTAATATGATTTTTAATCAATACAAACAACAACAAAGAAAAACGAGACATGTGAGCTTTATTAAAAACTTTAAGTTTCTACTCTGAACCTAGTTTGAATAAAGGTAAGAATACAGTTTGCATGCAACATTTTTGTTACTGATTTAAAAATATTTCAATGCAATTTTAGATTAAATAAATAAATTTATTAGAATTAGCATAATCAGGTGAACATCTGATAGTAGCACGTTCACTATTTGATATTTGAGCTATATCTTGATTCTATCACCCTTAAGATATATAGCATATTTTTTACATTAATTATCTGTTTGATCATTCTACTTTAGTGGCTTGTTTATATAGCACAATTTGTGAAAAGATGGGGATAAAATTCAAATTACTCGAACTTAGTTTTGTGTTAGACATTTTAATTCTCATTGATATTTTGAACTAAGCTTATTACGAAATCTGTTTTTTATGTAATAGATATTGTACATATAATAATTTAACAATCATCGGAGCATATCGATCATGAGATGAATCAAGCTTTTTTTGATTAGTTAAAATAACCTATACCAAACAAGATTCTTATTTGAAAGCCACTTCAGCATCTCACCTGTAAAATGAGCAAAAGTATTTTGGCCTGCTTTTGGTTTTCGACATAATATTTCAAATCGAATAATGAGCAACTTCATGAAAACAAACAAAATTTAACACTAACCATTTCCATCTTTAAGTATTTCAACTTTAAATGCTGATGGCATCATTGTAATTTTTTTTTCTTAATATAAACTGATAGTCTACAAAAAAAAAGAATCAAATCCGTCTATATCTTTTATTTATATATGTATGTACACAGTGCAGAAAAAAAACGAGGAAAAATAATAATAATAATAACCAAGTTTAGATGCTAAAACACCAGTAGCAACAACAGACATGTCTTTTTTTTTCTTGACCAGTATGAATATTTACATGAAAAAAAAACAAAAGAAAAGAAACATTGACATACAATAATGAGACAAATTTTAGATAGCATAAAGAACCGGTTTTTTATTTTATTTTTATTTTTTTATTTGTTGCGAGTTGTTTATCATAATAATCCAGAGTATAAATATGAACAGAGAGCTAAAACAAACGCACATCATAGTTCGTTCTCATGAAACACTAGTAATCGATTGTGTTGGACCACGCATTGTGGAAAGTACAGTATCAAGCCATTTCAATGGACCTTCTAAATGAATTTCTACCCAACATGGTGTACATGTTACTGCTTGACGTCTATTATTTAAATTAATATAGAATATTTCTTATTTTTAATAATAAAAGAAAAAGAAACGTATATTTACCTATATTCAACACCCCATCCTTTAACAAAACTCATTCGAATGATACACATTCTCATAAGATTATAAACAGCTTCATAACTTTCATGAACAGCGCTACTAAGTATTTGTGTAAAATCATCACTATCGAAAATTTTCAGTCGAACTTCTATAATAAACGAAAAGCAATAAAAAATTTTTTCTCGCATAAAATTAAAAAAAAATCGTTTTTTTTACTTGGTGGAATTTTACAAACAGTTGCTGGATGCCATGATAATCTTCGATTTGTTATTGGACTTTGAACAAAAACAGAATTATCTGATATACATTCAGCAAAAACATTTCCACGTATATGAAATAATTTTACACCACGTCCAATATGACGTCGTGCTTTATCGATTTCAAATGTTCTATGAACATTTGTTAAACCACCCAAACAAAAACGTTCAGCATTAGATGGATCAGTAAAACCATCAATGATAACTTGTGGTTGTGTAGCATGAAATTGTTCACCAACACGTGTTGACATTTCATAATATGATATAAGACACCATTCATGAGGTTCTTCAAATGGTACTTGTTCACCATTTGTTATGGAATATTGAGATGGATGAGGAGATATTGTTGATATTGATTGTTGTTGTGGTTGTTGTTGACTATAGATAGGATTTGTTTCCGTTGATATAGGTGGAGCAAGTTCAATTTCCATTCGAGTGTCATGAGAATTTTGATTATTTTCATCGTTATGAGTTGTACCAGGAGGTGAAAGAAGAGAATCTAAATTAACAAAAAAAATTACTTGTATACATTGTTTTTGGTGCAATGAAACATAGATTTGAGTAGATCATATAACATTCTTTTACATGTTTTAAAAACGAATTGTTACACGAAAGCAATTATTTACTAATATCTGAAATTTACTGAAAATTCTCTATAGTTACGTTGAAACAAACTCTTTTTTCATCTGAATACCGGAAAACCAAATTAAAACAGATATTTTTGTACTACTGATCAAGACTGATCGAATGAAAATAGTTTCGAATGAAAATCGATGTGATCATTAGGAACGTTTCCACATTAGTAGAAAACTGAAGATAATTTTCCAGAAATATTAATCAATTCAAGATGTATTACAACTAGAACCTGTCGAGTCCTACTCAGAAAATTTTCGACCCAACGCACTCTAGTTACAGCCATAGTGTCTTTCAATTTTCTTCTAATATCCTTCTTTCACAAAATACTGATTATATATAGACGACAACATTCTTCAGAGATGGGCAATTCAAATATGTCCCGCTCCAACTCTGATGAGAATAAGTGTCAACTTCAGAGTTTAACTCTGGGTTTGACTTGCTCATCTCTGCTATCTCCTTTAATCTTTTTCTTAATTTCTTATGCGTTATTCTTCCAAGTAAAAAGATACTGTCTACATATTATATATAAAAATAATTATATCTATAATGAAAAAAAGTGATATTCCCTATCGAATGATTTTTAAATCGTTTAAGTCAATAATAAAATTGTTTTCTCTGTTTTCTATTTTACCTAGTGAACTGATACTTCCAGGTGATAATTGATATGATGATGGTGATTGTTGTTGTTCAATAGTTGTTTGATATGTTGTATTTTCTGGTATTTGATTTGGTAAAATATCATTTGTTGAAGCTGAACGTAAATCCGGCATATCACGAAATGCTTCTGGTGGTAAATGTGGAACATAAACAGAATATTTAGCTAACGAAAAGATAAATAATCAATATAATATATGAAGAGATTTGATGATTACCTGGTACACGTTCATAATGAAATGGATTAATACAAATATCATCTCGAGAATAATGAAATGCATTTGGACAATAATCAACTGGTTTAAGTTCATTTTGATTTGATAAATCTGGCCAACGCCATAGACGACAATAAATAACAACAGAATTTGATTTTGCTGATTGATTTGGTGGAACATCAAGTGATCTAAATAAAATATCTTGATTTTATTTTATCGAATAAAACTGTTAGCACAATCCTTGTGAGATTAACATGTGAAACAAGATGTAGTTGTTGTTTTATTCTATCTATTTTGAAACACATTTCTTATCCATCATTTTACTTAATCCTTCAAAAAAGCAATAAGGAAGTAATAAGTGGTCCATATAGAATGAGAGTCTCGAGTTTTTGCTCAATACACATGAGTAAAAATAAGAAAGGTTATTGGAATAATATTGCAAACTTGCTAGATCAACAATTTCGAAACATAAAATACAGTTGTCCTGTACTCATGTGTTTTCATCTCGAACTATGTAGACAAATTGTTCTATCCAATTTGTATAGCTTCAAAAGGTCTATCTTATTACCATGTTCAAGAATTTTCATAACGAAACCTTATCACATATAACTAGTATTACTTCTTTTCAAATTGAGAAAAAACACGATCTATTTATTTGAAATAAATGACGTTCATTTAGTTCTTATTAAGGTTTCGTTATAGAAATTCGTCAACATAGTAATATGAGAGAGCTTTTGAAGCACAATAAAATTCATAATACAATTTGTCTATATAGTTCGTCATGAAAGCATCGGATAATTATATTTTGTGTTTGGAAGTTGTATGCCCACAGCATTACTATAATATTTATGTTACTTGATTTTATCTCTATGATACTTATTTGTATATGGTTTTATGGAGAATTTAACGCTGAATCTATTATAACAGGAGAAGATGTTAAGAAAATACGGGGACCTTCAGTCATTACGGGCCATACGTAATATCTAATATTCGAACGAAACATTATTGATATACGGTCTGTGATGATCTCTAACTAGTGTGTGTGAGGAGAGTTCAAATTTCTACCAGATATGCTTAAAGACTTCTTTTAGATCGTGTTTCATAATATGAGAATTCAAAATTTCACCTTGGTATTGTAACACATTTTGTTCTTGAGTCTTTATGTAAAATAGCTTTTTCAAGTTCATCAATAGAACCACTTCTTTTTAATTTTGTTAATTTTTTTAATAAATTTCTTATAATTTTTTCTGTATGTTCATTTATATTTGATGATGGTAAGGAATTAATATCATTTTGTTTATTTTGATTAACACATAAATTAACAAAACGTTGAACAATTGGGGATATTGAACGTTTTTTAGTTATTGAATGTAAAAGTGTTGTTAAAGGATTTGATGATGGCGATGAATTACTATTCATCGTTGTTGTTGTTGGAGAAGCAATTGACATTATATTTAATCTAAAAGAAATAAATCTTTTTTTCTCTTTTCGTCATCTGTCGTATATATACAATACATTTTTCTAATTTTTTTTTATAAAAAAAAAAAAACAAAAAAAAGAAAAACAAAATCTCGGATACAAATATACAAAAATATACACTCTTTCACCTTGATGTTGGACACCAATGTTTCATTCCTTCGAAGTCATATAAACTATCATAAGATAACAAAAATTCATTTGTACGATTAAATTTATTTAATTTTAATTTCTTTTTTCCATCAGATGGATTAGTATGTAATTCTTTTTCCATAGTTAATATTAAAAATTGTTGCCATTGTTGTTGAACTGTCTGCATTTCATTGAATAGAATTGAATCTAGTATAGAATCATCATCAAGTAATTCACTAAAAATAGAAATTAATAATTGATTTCTTTGTTGTGATCTTTCAATTGACATAAACTTACGTGCTTGAAATAATAGTTGATGCTATTTTCTTTTTCTTTTTCTTTTTTATAGGTTCTTCTTTAGGACAAAGAAGTAAACCTTGCGATGGTATTGAAAGAACTTCTTTATCAGTTGAAATTATTTCTGATTTTGAATTTTCAGCTGAAGATTTTTTTACTATTGGAATATCTAAATACAAAGGGAAAAAATATTATTTTTTATGTTAACAATAGAATTCTTTTTCTTAAGGGACAAACATGTAAATCAAGACTAAAAAAGTATAAGAATCTGTTTTATTCACTTCATATTATTGTCATCTTTGTGAAACAAGAGAAAAAAAAGGAATTTTTTATATGTATTTATAGCATGTAACAATATAGAATCCTACTCAAGCATGTTATTAACTATTTCCAGAAAATAGAGTACCCTTGATGAGAATTAATTTTAGTAGGCTGTATAATAAAGACATCTTTTTTTTTTCCTTTTTTTGCATTTAATTCTGCACTGTAATTAAGGAGACGAGATCTTCTATATCAAACAGAAAAATATTTTTCTATAAAATATTCATCGTCGGATCTATTTTTACGTTTCTTTTTTTATTCAATGAATTATATGCATGATTATGCAACGTTTTCTTTTTATAGAAAAAATCTTCGCAATACAGAAAAGAACTTCACAAAATAGAAATACCTGTTTTTGTTTTATAAGGTTGCTCTGCTTCATAAAAAGGAAAAAAGTTCTTATGAAAATATTATAATGAGAGTTATGTTAAGTGAATTCTGGTCAAGACCGAAAGTTTTTTTTTTTTTTTCTAATACAAACTTTTTATTATTGTTGTGATAGATTGTTTTTGTATTTGTTCATTTGAGTTTGATCGAAGTTTGATTAGTGATGATTGTTGTTTAGATCGTTTTTCTTCGATTATTATTAATCTTGCTTTTTGACGATCAATTTCTTCATCAAGTAAATTCTTTTCACATTTTAAATTTTCATCCATTGAAATATCTGAATTTGCTAGAAGAGAAAAAGAAACAGAAAAGAATATATATGTTTTTGTTTGTAAGAAATAAGTAATATTTTCATACAGGATAATAAAGATTTTGAAAGTATTTCATTTTGTGTTTGTTCATTAGATCGTAAATGATCTTTTATTATTAATGAAGATGAATGACGAAGTTTTTTATTACAATACAAATTCTGATCAAATTTTCGTTTTTGATTATTTTCTTGACTAAAAAAAGAAAATCAAATTCAATAATGCTTATTTAATCATATAAAAATAATGTTACTTTGTTGTTATATTAACATCAATAGATTTAATATGATAATTTGTATTATGTGATAAAGAATTTTTTGTTATTTTATCTGACAATATATCATCTGATGAAAATAATTTTTCACGAATTGGTAATGAATTTTGTTCATTTTGTCGTCTTAAATATGATTTGTATAAATTATTTGTTTTTGTATTAGGTGATGAACTCTCAATAGATGATGATGATGACCAACGATGATCAACATCAGATGTAAATGTTGATGATGATGGAGAAAGTTCGAATGACTAAAAATAAAAAAAACAAATATATATATATATTATAGTCAATCAAATATGTGAATTGTATGCACTCACATGTGTGTGTGCATGTGATTGAATACAGAAAAAATAACATATTGTGTCATATTTTTGTAAATATATTTTAACTTTTCACGTGATGATACTTTATACTACTGATAAGAGAAACATCTGCAATATAACAACGAAAGATAAAGCGAGACTACGATACTCCAAAGTACAAGCGACGTACACAAAATATTCATTTATTTTTCGACTACTGAATGACATCTGGCAATGCTTTATCGAGATTTTCTCTTCTGAAAAGACGATTTAATATATCGGGAGGGTCAAATTGATTTCTTCTGAAGTAAGATTATTTCAAAATAGCGGTTGCGATTTTAGTCAATTTTATTTTTCGATTGAAACCTATTGAAATAATGATTTTTTTTTATCAATGTTGTTTTGCATAGAAACTTACTTTTTAATGAAAACTTATAGATGAGATGTTACTTATTACAATATATAATTTAATGCTCTATAGTAATGTTGAGTTAAAACTGCTAATTGGATTTGTGCAGACAGTCTTTCGAACATTATTCACAAAACTTATTCATACTTATACTAGAAGAAACATCTGAATATATAAAAACAGAAAGAGCAAAAAATTCTGATTCTGGTTCGTTTTATAACTTTTTCATTAATAAAGCATGTTGAGTGCAATACTTTTGCACGCGAACTATGTTCCTAATTTCAACGAAACTTTCTATTCTAAGTCTGATAGTTGTTCCGAATTCTATTATTAATACGCTCTTGCACATTATACTCAAGCTAAGATTAGTTCACGGTAGTCATCAATAAGCTTTCGGATAAAGACGAATTAATCAGTAAAAAATTTTGACATCAGTTCAAGGAGTACTTGACATAACCTATTTTTTCTGTAGTCTTTCATTCGAATGTTTAATATGTACATAATATTTTAGACTAGTCTTAATTTGAGAAGATACATTTTAGAAAACTTTTATCCATATTGTACTCAAGTTAGAATGATGATATAGATTAACTACCTACAACCTGAATTCTGATGGTAAAAATCGGTTTTTAAATACTAGACAACCAATAAACCATTGAAAGAAAAATATCCAGAATTTTATGTCTAAATTTTTCACTATTTAAACTCTGCAGTAGTAACGAATGAGAGAACATCCTCGTCTGCTGGACACTATCAGACTTCATATTACGCTCACAAGTAGGCTTTAGTGGAGCTAGCAAAAGCCTAAAAAGAGTTCATACCCATGGCTCTCGGGATCCAAGTTATGACCGTTTCACTGAATTTTCGGTCAATTACTCTGCATATATCAAGGAAACCATATTAAGATATTTCGACTAGAAATTCAGTCCATCGATAGTTCGAATGTTTCTTAGAATATCCTGAAAGATTCAGTAAAATGGTCATAGCTCGGCTTTAGAGACTCATGATCATGAAGTCTTTTCAGATTTTATTACCCTCACTGAAGCCCATTTGTACGCATAATATGGAATGAAACAGTGTTTGACAGTTGAAGATATTCCCTCGTCAGTTAATCCTTACAATCAATACTAATCCACAGATTTGAAATCATAGCTTAACTTCATTCAATATCTAATTAGAGAAATATGATTTCTCTATAAATAAACAAATTACTTGTATTCGTTCATCAACATCATTTATTCGTAAATCTTGATCAAGATCAATTTTTTTGTCATATAATCCAACACCAGGTTGATAAATAAATGATAATTGTTGTTTATCATTAATTGGCGATGAAAAAGGCATTGTCCAATTCGTTTGTGTTGGCTGTATTATATCAGCCGACGTTATTGAAGGTGGATCACACCACATTAAAAATTCATATCTAAAAACAAAAAAAGATATAACTAGTGATATTCTTCTTTTATTTTCTTAAAACGAATAATAAAGTTGTTACAAATTCGTTTATAACTTCTTGTCCATGAATATAAGAAAAAAAAACCAAGAACAAAAAAAGAAATAATTTCAACAAAACAAAATGATGGTAAAATAATAATTATATTTGTATTGTTGAAAATTAATAAGTGATAACTTGATTTTTCTTCTTTTTTTCTGCACCTAATTCGAAATGTTTGGTTCGTTTAATAGCTAATTGTTTTTTGAATTTACATTCAGTACATTCCATACGTAAAACAATTTTTTTTGTTGTTTTAGCTTTCTTATGAAAGACAGGTTTTTTTTGTCCACCATAACCTTTTTGTTTCATATCATAACGTCGTTTACCTTGTACATGGACACTATCTTTGCCTTTTTTATATTGTGATACTTTATGTAAAGTATGTTTTTTGCAATTTTTGCCTTTGCAAAATGTACGACGTGTTTTTGGTACGTTTACCATTGTAGTTTTGATGGAAAAGAATGTTAAATCTGGAAAGAAATATCATTTTTGAATAATGTTAGTGTTTTATATATATATACAAAATTTTAATGATAAATAAATGAATGAAACAAACAAATACAACACTAAAAAGATGAACAAAAGCGGACAACAAATACAAATGTGAATATGTCAATATATCTGACAGAAGATTGGTTTTTTCTTCTTCTTCATTTCGATTTTATTTTCACATTTATTTACTGGACATACTACCAGGTGCTGGTAATTGTTGTAGAACATTGTCAAGCCATTGCATTGGACCATTTAGATGAATTTCTACCCAACATGGTGTACTCATGATAGTACGTCGACTAGAAATAATTGATTTTAATTATAAAAGCAAAAAGAAAAAGAAAAAGAAATTTACCGATATTCTTCACCCCAACCCTTAACAAAACTCATACGAATAGCACATATTCGTGTAAGATTAAAAACAGCTTCATAACCATATTGAATTGTATCTCTTAACATTTGTGCAAATTCTGTATTACTGAAAATTTTTAAATTACAACCTAAAACAAAGAAACATTTATCTCATTTTTTTCTAAGAAGGATATATAAAAAAAAAGAAAGGTTCTATTTCTTCATTCTAATAAAAATAATCTGTATAAATATTTTATTCTTCTTATATGAATGTCTAGTGGTTTAACCAGAAGGAGTTCAATCTTTCTACAAACGGATGAGTTCCGCTTAAAAAAGCCTTGAGCTAATTTTCGAAGCATTACTAAAGGGTCTCTATCCCTTCTCTAGACATGATCAAGCGGGTTGAATCTCTTGTAAAACTATATTCTACGTACTTCACTACTAAAACTCGTCAGACTCGACACCAGCACTACTGTAACAATAACAACAAATCATCACTTGATTCTCATAAGATCACTACTAAGTCTGGATCAACAAATTTTTGAACCTAACAGACTACGTTTCACATCGATGTATCAGCGAAAATTTATGGTATATATATATAGTGATTGTTAAAATTATCCAACCAGCAAATAATCTTATTTAGTTACTAGATGAACTCGAGTTATTTGATTTTCATTAGATTACAGCCTATAGTCACGAATATATTAGAACAAAAAAAATTCGAATTAACTCATTGATTTCTGTAGTGTTCTTATTAAGAATAAAATCGTAAGCCGGTGTTTATTTTTATCCTTTTATAATTTGTTGTAAACTGTTGCGTGTCTGATGCTAATTGAGAATTTCTTTAGGACATAAGATTTAATAGAAGAAATAGTGCTCTAGATAATGAGTACTGCTGTCCTTTGAGTAAAGGTTAAAAAAATCCCATGTTTTTTCGACTCCATGAATACCATCTAGAAAAACGATAAAGCATATTTTTTTATGCGATGTTTAATTAATTTTAGTGTACTATATATCATTAGACACCGTCATGAGATATTCTGTTTCAATAGATATATCCTATGTTGGTCGTCTATTATGTATACGTCAATATCATTGACGCGTCGAAGATGACGTAAGAAATTGTTTTAACATAATGGGTTTGTAGGAAATCTTTTTCCATACGAAACTCTTATATTTGAAAATACAACTGATTATATCATTGCAGTTATATACCTCTGTTACGTTATAAACAACAGAAATAAGAATCCTAACTTAGTTTCAGCAACAGACTACATATGTAATTTCATCAAATAAAGATGTCTCATATGAAACTTAATATCGTTCGTCGGACTAAATTTTACTCTCTATCTAGAGAGACATGAGAAACAAAAGTTAGCTATGTATTTAATGCTACTTACACGTAAGCTGTTGCTTAGGCTACGGTAAACTTTTTACTCCTGCTAATTATAACGTAACAAACGTACATAGCTGAAGTGACATAATCAGTTTTAACTTCAAGTATAAGAGTTTCGTACAGAAAAAGATTTCCTACAAGTCTACGATGTTAAAACTATTTCTTACATTATCCTCAACCCGTTAATGAGATTGACTTATACACAGTAGACGACCAAACACAGAATATATCTATTGAAATAGAATATCTCATGCATTTTGTAGTACTCTTTCTAATACTATATTGAACACCAAAATTAGCTAAACATTGCATAAAAAAAAAATTTTTGTCGCCTTTTTTGTAGATTTATATTATAGAGAAATTTTCAACTCGAAACAGATGGCCAACAGCTTGCAAAAATTGTAGAACGATGAAAACGACATGGTGCGATTATATCGTTCGGATCGTTCTAACTTATCACGTAACAAAATAAAATAATCTAGCACTTGAATAATTTTGACAGCCACTATATGCCGAAGTAATAATTCATTTTTCTCTTTATTCTAAATGTCTGAGAATTGTACTATGTTGATATTTGTCGTTAGGTTCAAATGACCTTACGTTCTGTAACTAATGGAATGAATTATTAGTGTTATGTTCTAATCTGAAATACAACTCAAATTGGCAATTCAAGTAAACATTTGTTGATATATGAACAATCTTTAAGATCATACTATATGTTGAGATATTCAAAGTCTGAGTTTACTTGACTTACATTATATTTCAGAACTATTTGTATATCAATTGCGCACAAATAAAATAACTGAACTGATATTAATAAAAACGACAGTACAAGTTGACATGAAGAATTTAAGAAGATTATGATTAGCAGACAAAAAAAAATGTGACAGGCTTCTAGTATCTATTATATTTATCAAAATGTCAACTTACCTTTCTATACTATCCAGCACATCATAGCTAAATCCTTATCCTCGTTTTTTTTTCAATTAGATGTACAAATAAATGTCAAGATTTATAATTATAATAAAAATCTATTCAATAATGAAAACATAACTCCGGGAACTTCCTGATTCTCAATAATGTCTACATGAATAAAATAAAAAATCAACTATAACAATATGTTTTATTTATAAATAGATTTATCAATTAATTGATAATTATCTATTATTATTGTTTAGTTAATGTATAATAACTTCAGCACAATATATATGAGCCAATTATTTAATCAACTCAATGTGATGATAGAATGAAAAGACAAATTAAAAAAACTAACAGACATTTTAGTTTATTCCTCTGGTATATATTTATTTTTATAAGTGCACCAGACATTCTATTTTAAGAATCAACATAATAAATGTTGTCACTATGATATTATGCTTAAATAAACTCTTTAACTAGTATTTCACATCAATCATTACATACGTGGTGGAATTTTACAAACAGTTGCTGGATGCCATTGAAAACGTTGATTACAACTTGGACTTTGAACAAATATTGGTGTATCAGATAAACATTCAGCAAATACTTCACCACCAATATAATAAAGTCTAACACCATTACCAATCATACTTCGACAAACTTCACTTTCTCTACTACGATTAACATTTGTTAATGAACCAAGACAAAAACGATCGGATGCATTTGGATCACAAAAACCATCAATAACAAGTGAATTTAATGATGCATGAAATGTTTCACCAACACGTTGATTTAATTCATAATAAAGTATTGAACACCAAAATGGTGTTTCAGCATAAGCAATAGATGCTGTTGGAACACCTTATAGAAGAAAAACAAAACAACTAATAAACAATAAATCATCAATTTTTCTTTTTTACCATTAAAATTTGTTGTTGCAACTTGTTGTTGATTAATTGAGGCTTGTGTTGGTGTCATTGCTTCATAATTATCTTGTACACTTGCTGGACTATTCACAGCTGTACGTTGTTGATCTGTTGGTGATGTAGCAACTAAAACAAATCAAATTTTCTTTATAAATTTATCTTTTTCAAATATAACTTACAATCCATAGGAACAGTTGAATCTGGTTGTATTTGCATACGTTCACTTGTTGTAGAATCAAATACAGCACGATCACAAACAGGTACCTGAACTGGTGGAATAACTAAAACAACAAAATACATTATCATTCGAAATATCAATTAGATGTTTGTGTTTTACATGGTGCAACAACTCGTTCATAATGAAAAGGATTAACACATATTTGGTCTTTTTCATGTTGAAATGCATATACACATGTATTTGTTGGTCGTAATTCTAAATGTGTATTTAAATCTGGCCAACGCCATATACGACAAAAAGCAACAACAGGTGTAACATCATTAAACGCTTTTCGTACTGTTTGGGATGGATTTGGTTCAACTAATTTATTTTGTGCTTCTCTAAAAACAAAAAAAAAACTCATACTTAAAGACTTCAACTCACAAGAGAATGTATTAGTCGCCGATTAAGATCATAATTAGAACTTACTGAGAATAGAAAAAGAATCTGAAATGAATTGTCTCTATAGATCTTCAATATGTCGAGAAGAAATCATTCGTTTTAACTAAAACCTTCAGAAATGAAGATCCTTAATAATGTACAAATATTTGATAAAATGCTCATAACTCCATAAGGAAGGTCTATGGAGAGAAATCCTTTCAGACTTCTTCAATTCTCACTGAATCTTAAGTATCATACCACTCGACGATTAACAGTTACCTATGTTTTCTTGCCAGATGAATAAGTAAAATCAATACAAAGAAAAACAACTTTAATTAATATTTATTTTAATTGTTTTACTAAATCTTATCACATGTTTTCCAGCAGAAACTAAATGAGCAATAAAACACTTGAATTTTTTTTTACAACCTTCACAATATGAGAAACGTATGCGATAGAAAGGTTTCACTGCATTGCTTTTTTTTCTTGATTTTGACTTCATAAACTTGTTTGTCTGTGAGTAAATGTCAAGTCATCTGAACTCAATAATCTTTTCATCGGAGCACTAATATGGAATTTATTCTTGAAATCCTGACGAGCTTCATTACTACACTAAACTAATTACGTGACTTGTTCCAGCATGTGCAAGACAACATAGGTTATCTGTAGGTCAGAGAATATGACTTTGTTTGATATGAGAAAAAAGTTAAATTAAATATACCTTGAAATAGTAACACAACGTGTTTGTGAACTTTGTGCTTCTAATGCTGTTTGCAAATCATCAATCATTGACGATTTAGTTAAACGTTTAATTAAACCTTTAATAGCTTTTTCAGACCATTTATCTTCACTTGTATTTGATTGAATATTTTTTCTATGTTGTAATAAATTTTTTAATGTTTGAGGATTAATTGAAAATGAAAATGGTAAATTAAATAAATGGCTCATCGTTTTTGTAAATAAGAAAAAAAAATCCAATCCAATTGAATATTATTTAAAAATAGACAAAAAAACACAAACCAAAAAGGAAAAAAAGCTTGTCGGCATATTGAAATAATTTGTTATATTAACCTCTACTTATTATTTGTATATAAAGTCAATAGAAAAAAAAATTTTAAAGAATAAATTCTTTTTTTTTCTTAAAAAAATATTTATTAAATTCAAAAAATTAAATTCTTTTATATATTTTTATTTTATTTATTTTTGTCGATAGATGGTAGTTCACTATAATATTGCCATAGAAAAAAGATACGTACTAAACGATTAAATTTTCATTGGATATCTATATTAACTAATAGAAAATTGATTGTATTTAAGTTTTGACTGAGTATTTGAAGAAAATAATTATTGCCTAGTGATCAACAAATCATTCCGTGTTTGTATGTTTTTGATATGTCCTTCATAAAATTCTATTTTTGTTTTGTATAACGAAATTTTATCATTGTTGTTTTCAATGAATTAATCATGTTCATTTGCATAGGTACGAATTCTGCATATGAATCAGTTTTTATTTACCTTGAATTCATCTTGAAACTGTATAGAAAAATATATAAAAAATTATCAAAGAAAAATTCCTACATTGTGTATTTATTGTGTTTTACTGTTTATATGACTTTTAATCTTAATTGACGCGTATGGAATTGAACGTAACGATTGATAATGTATTATTCTATTTATTTAAACTTATAGAAGAACTTCTTTTTGTTCTTCATAAGAAAATCTTCTAATTATTAAATAGTTAATATTCATAGTTATGTCTTGTTTAATTAAGTTTTTCTTTTTATTCGATATATTTTCGATTTTAAAAATAGTTTGAAATACGATCTTTCGAAAACTATTTATTTAGAAATTAGTTGATTATCGAAAAGGAAGTTTGTCTTATATAGTTTTTCAATCAATAAACAAATAGAATTTTTTTTTTTCAGTTGATTATAGACTGTCAAAGTATAAAATTATTTCACAACGGTGAAATAAAGTTTATTGTGGTTTTTGTAGTACATCATTTGTTAGAATAATGGCTAGATCGAGTGTTATTGCAGCGATTACAAGAATTGAGAATAGAATACCGATTATTCTTGCATATCTATAACGTAAAAGTAAGCCTCCATTATGAACACAACGAGCAATGACGAAAACACATCCATAGACAATTTGTCGTGTTGTTGTACCTTGAAGTGATTCAGTGAAAACGTAAAATAATATAAAGAAATAAGCCATATAATGAGTTTCATATTCTAATAATTTTGTAATTCGTTTTTTAATAGCTGAATGTTTATGTTTAATGACATGATTCAATTGTTGAGTCTTACTTGGTATTGTCTGATTAACCGCTCCAGTTTGTCGTTGAATTATTTGTTCATCTGCTACACGAATTGTTTGCTTGTCTTGTAAACGAAACATCACTAATATAAGAAAAAAAGTTATATTTTTCCATATAAGACCAACAGATACCCATGCAAATACGCATCGTTTTATATATGAATCGTAATCGAACGATGAAGCCATTAAGACTGATTATAAATCGATGTGTGTGTGTGTGTGTGTGTTTGAAGAAAAGACAATATGAATAGAAATATTAGCTTTTTCGTCCATATTAAGATTTTTATCAGTGACTTTTTAAGAATATTTTCTTTCTCAATAATATCTTGAATGATACTGTACTTATCTGAAGAGCAGTATCAAATAATATTTTTGAGATAAAAAGGATTTTGTCAAGGATTTAGAGAATTTTTCGAGAGAAAAAATGGTACTTGTTGACTTAGATTTATAAAAAAAAAATATGTCGATTGACGTAAATGATTTATCTTTTAGATGTTGATTTTGTTTATAAAATATGTTCAAACTTGAATCATATATAACCCCATGGCTTTTATCTTATATTGATCAATATGTAAAATTAAGACGTGAAGATTTTCAATTATCTTTATGGGGTGGCGATGTTGTTTTTAATAATCTTGAATTACGTTTAGCTAATATACAAAAATTAGTTCCAACACTTCCTATTATTTTTCAAAGTGGAATTATTCATGAGTTACGTATTCATGTATGTTTCTATAATTTACAAAAAAAAAAGAATTTTTTCTTTTATTTTCTTTTAAATAGATTCCATGGATTCGAATAAATTCTGAACCAATTGTTGTAACAATAAATCAAATTGAACTTGTTATTGTTTTAAATAAAGAATGTACATTATCTAATGATAATTCATTATCATCGGAAGATGATAATGATTCTGATCATATACTTATTCAACAACAACAACCAACAACCGCCGAACAATCAAATTATATTCAAACTGTACTTGCACGTATACTTAATAATGTACATATTATTGTTAATAATTTAATAATAAAATTTGTTGAAGAAAATATAGTTATATCATTATCATCACGTACAGCTGAATGTTATGCTGTTAATCAAAATTGGTCAAAATCATTTATTGAATTATCACAACAAGATTTATCATTACGACGTTTAATAACATTACCTGATTTAACATTATGTTTAGATAAACGTGATAGTACAGGTAAAGTTCATCGTTATGAAGTACCATTATTATCACGTTGTTCATTTGAATGTCGTATACAAATGTTATATTCAAATGTATATCAACAATTAAATACAAAACCTATACAAACACGATTAAGTTTTAATTGTGCTAATATTGAAGTATCTATTGTTGATAATCAATTATCAATGATAATGCGTTTAACTGAAATTATTATGTTACTTATTAATCAACAAATATATTCAAATGAAGAAGATAGTTCTTCAAAAGTCGAGAAAACAAGATTAAATGATCAATTATCTCAACCGTCATTTTCAGTAGCATCATTACCACCATCACCATCACCACCATCATTGCCAACGCCGTCTTTACCTCCAATTATAAATTCAGAAGATAAAACAATTGCTTCAAATAATTCTCAATCAGGTTGGGTTTCATGGGCATGGTCTTATGTACCATCAGTAACAACACTTTTTGCTGAAGATGATTTTCCACCAGAGATTGATAATTCTAATAATGTATTAAATGGACAACAAATAAATAAAGAATCTCGCTTAGATGAACAGAATATATTAATAGCTAATAATATTAGTCATACTCCAACACCAATTCTTTTTGCTGGCATTGAATTAGATCGAATTAGTTTACAATATAAAGTAAGAATTAATAATTTTTATTTGAACTTAATTAAAATCATATTTTAATAGATTACAAAATCAACTGGTAATAAAACTTCTCTTATTCCATTTATTGAATTTCTGGTCGAGAAAGCAAGTATGTATCGAATAAAAGAAAAAAAAAGAGAGTAATTGAAATATAAATAATTCATTCATAATATGAAAGATTTATAGACTGTTAATTATTCAGTCATGTTCGATATAACCAATCGATTTAACATAAGAATGAATATAGATCATCAAATATGAGTGAAAAGTTTCCGTAGATTTTCTATTTGAGATATAAATGATTTTATGATTTATTTATTTAGATATAATTGTTGAACGTTATAAACCTACAAGTACAACAGCTGTTGATGGTCAATCAATTGTTTCTCGTGTACGTAAAGTAAAAGTATTAACATCAAAAATGTCGTTCATGTGGGATGAACGTTTATGTTTATCATTATCTGATGTTCATTTTACATTACATTATGATCGTCATGTACGTATGACACATTTTTCTTTAATTATAAATGATCTGAATGTACGGTTTAATAATAATCTACTTATATATCCATGTCAAGCAACATTAAAACTTGATCATCATCGAACATATTCATTACTTCATTTAGAATGTTCATCATTAACTGGAAAAATTGATTTTAATCTGTTAGCTTATTTGTTAACAGTTATTAATCAAATACGAACAATAGTTGATATAGCTATATCAATATGTCAACCATCAAAAATTATTGAACTAATTAGTGATGATATTATATCAGTTGATGATTTAAGAAATGGTTCAATGAAATGGATATTTCAATCATCACATGAACTACCTAGTATAAATGAAATTTTTTTTACAACAAAAAATCATCAAAATATTGCATCTTGTATGACATGGAAATATTCACAAAGACGATCAATTCTTAAATGTCATATACTTCCTTTACCATTTGATAACGATCTTACTGGAAGTGTTATGTCACGTAAATTAAAAACGGTAAAAGAAAAATTTCAGATTGATGATTTGTAAACTGACCAATAAAAACATTATTTATAATCATATAATCCTTTGGTTATGGATGTTTGTTTTTTGCAAATATGCTTCATAGAAGATTGAAGCGTCAAAAGAAAAATAGCAGATTGAGTTAAGCTTCAACTAACAACATAAAATTCAGTATTTACAGAGTTGATTAGAGTTACCGAATACCTTTCGGAATCTTTCATTTTTATAGGATTTTGTGCGATTTTAGATATCAAGAGCCTCTAAATTTAAAATTCTTAACTTGATATTCATGTACAGTGATATCATATAATCATGCTGTCATACTATAAGAATAAGAAAAAGAGAAAATATTCTATGACTGAAGCATTAAAAAAGATTGTCAACACTCTGTTCAACTCTATGAGGCTAATTTCTTTTCCGCGATAGAGACGACTTCAAAGTTCTTTTCCATAAGAACCTTATGATTTTACAGGTCATAACATACATCTAAAATTTCGAAACCTCTGTAAGAACGAGCACTGAAATTCATTATCAAGACCAATGATGTTACTTCAAAGCAATATTTATAAACTTTACTCTTATAGAAAAAAAACTCTAAAATCTCTTCTATCGTGAAAACAAAAATTAGCTCCATAGAGTGGAGATGTTCAAATTTTTTATCGCATAATTACTTATAGACCGTCATGTATATATGAGTCTAATAACCAAAGAATTAAATATAAAGTAAAATATTTATTCAATTTGCCACTTACATAAATATTAATATATATAGTAGAAGATAGAGAAAAATATATTCTCGTTTTGTAAATTACTACTTTAACCATTGATGCGTCAGCACTACAAGTGGTAGTTATCGCTTCTTCTAACTGTCTCCACTTTGTCGATATTATTACATAGTCACACTCGTTTAAGTTTAACTTTATCATTCAAATAAGTCTGAGCAGTGCATCAACAAAGTAATCTGTACTATTAATTTCCCTCAAAAATTTCCCTTGTGCTCCTTATATTTACCTCGGACTACGTAGTAATAACTGTGAAAAAGATATCAGATCATTTTCAATTGCATCTTATACTGTAAGATATATGTTCAATGAAGAAATTTTTCTTTTAGGTTGAATGTTTAATGCAATATTGGCATTTTGGTACAAAACAATTTGTAACATGGCAAACATTTGATTTATCTGATGGTCAACCATTATTTCTTGATTTTAGTAATGATCTTGGACAAAATCCATATTCGGAAATGTGGCGTATTGTTTTACTTAATGCATCATCAATTATAAATCAAGCAAATTCTTTAGCTGCATCAACACGTATTGATTCCTTACAAAGTCAACGTTTTGAACCATCAATTGAAATGACAATTAAAATACCAAATATTCGTTTACATTTTATGATAGATCCACAGGTTGCATTTTCTGTTTTTTTGTTTTTAAATTTATTTAAAACCTCATATCATTTCTTATATTTGATTTAGAAAGAAAATTCGTCTTCAAAATTTCAATCAATTCTTAATGGATGTAAACATGATGTTCTTACATTACATTTAGATAATATATCATTTGATTATAGTCAACGTTTTGAAACAAGATTAATGAGTATTGAAACAATATTATCACTTGAAGCATTAGAATACAGATTTTTAACAAAACGTTCATGTATTGAACCAGCTGTAGTTAATCTTAATTTATTTATTGATACATCAAAATCAAGTATATTAACACATTTACCAGATATATTTGATTTAAATAATGCAAAATATAATCAATTATTTCGTTCAGCTAAAACTTCAATTGTTTATCAATTACATTTTGATATTGATCATATTAATATAAGATTAAGTCAATCATTATGTCATTTAATTAATATACTTTATCAACATTGGATTCGATCAGATATGATCGAAGTTTTACAATTAAATAAATTAAAACAACAAGGTAGAGATACAAATTTCTTTTTTTTTTCGAGAAATCTAATTCTTCATGCATAATGACCTTTATTATCCTAGTGACCTTGTAGTAGAAAAAAGGATTGAATGTCATAAAAAGATCTCATTTGTTTTTCTTTCGTGACAATATTGAATCGATAAAAATAGTTTATGTCCCATGACATTGGATTAGTAGAAAAAGGAAGAAGTAAATACATAAAAATTAATATATTGAAATAATGTATATGTTTTTGACATACACTGTAAAATAATTTAAAGTTGATAAATTCAGTTTTAATTCGGATCGGTCCAAACGATCTTTGTTCTATTTTTGAGAAAGGCACTTCCGAATATAAAGAAAAACTTTGATCTATTACTGAAATTTCGCATATTATTCTTGAT